TATGATTGCTATTGAGTGAAAAGGTCTGTTGCTTGTTTCATGTAGTAACTTGTTGTAATAATATCTTTTAAGGCTTCATTACTATGGAATATGAGAAAGTGGTCTAACTCTTTTTCGATTGTTAATGGGAGCTCGCTTTTTCTAGTTTAGCTTCTTTTGGCTCCCAAATTTACTGAACCGAGCATGACGCGATAATATTATGCGTTATTTTTTTGAAGTTCTATCAAATTCAAGAAGAAAGCATCTCACTTGTCGAATAGTTAATCATGTAGCTTAGTTTGACTACGGAGATGACTTCTCATTTTCAATCAAAACCAGTTATCACCTAGAGAAACTTTATGCTTGTAAATCACCCGAAATGAAAACTCAGAATAAATATATTTAACGAGGATGCACTAATCATAACTATGTTTTGAACGAATTATTATCCTTTTTTTCAAGAGGAAGAATTACAATAGTTATACACATATGTACAATTTGATAAAGGGTGCCCTGCTAGCATGTGGCCATTGGCGCGTTCAGCACTGTCAAGCGTGGCATCTTTGTTAGCTTTGCAATGGGGAACGACGGCCCTGGCTACTCCACTCTGTCAAACGAGGCGCCATGGATTCTAACCGTTGGTGAGAGCACCACAGACCGATCCATTCGGACGATATTCGAGCTCGGCAACGAGGCAAGCTTTGACGGGCAGTCAGCTTATCAGCCATCGAACTTCTCTCGTTCGCCGCTTCCCCTGGTGTACCCAAGCTTACTAAATCAATCCGCCAGAATGTTAACTCCTGGACCGATGATGTCCGGCTTAAAAAATGTTGGGATCGGCCCGGTTTCGTGGCAAGATGGTTAAGCAGCGGAGGAGGCGGTTCTCAAGGCAGCGGAGAATAGGGAACCTGTAGATGCGTGATGAAGACGCTGTTGGATAATTTGATGATCTAGGCATGAATAGATGAACTAGAAATATAAATTAATTACCGTTCACCGACACAAATTGGAATCTCTTCTCCTCTTCCTCCCGTAGCCAATGATGGTAATTATTCTCTTTTCTGGCAATTATATGGTTGAGAGGAGGGCTCCACCCTTTAACATAGATATTTGTGATATAACCCCCTTAACCCTGCATGCGTTTAATCACAACCGTGGAATTACTCCCGGGTTGATCCTATCCTTTTAGATAATTCAAAGGGAATAATTTAAAATTGATAGACGTTGAAAGCACACTGAATAAAAGAAAGGAAATTCCCAAGTCAACCCTGTTGCAAACCCTAAAGACACTGGACTCCGCTTTCCAACAATCCACTCAATGATGCAGATTCCACACTTCTGAGGATACAGGGAACAAAATAGACAATCAAGTTAGCATACCACCGATCAAAACCCCCTTCTCCCATCCAACACACTCCTATCCGATGCAAAGCATCCTTCCTGATGACCAAAATGCTGAACTGCAGCATTGATGTCTGATCTCGATAGGTAGTAGGCCGTTGCCCCCTTTCCAGATAGACTCAAACCTAGGAAAAACTCCCCGCCAAGGTTGAGAAATCTTAGAATACATTTAAACAGGTCGAAGATCAAATCCCTCTCCTAGATGCCAATTTGAACAAATCCCTTTACTTATTGCAAAGCTTCTTGAAGGACTTATGCACTAAGAAAGAACCACCAATGTCCAAGAAGTCTCTTAAGCCCTGCCATACACTCTAGTTTGAAATTTTTCGGCAAACCCATATGCCCCCGTTGAAACTACAGAGGACCCTGCGTTGTCCTTACAATTTCCATGCTGGTCATCGGTAACACTCCACATTGATAAGGCACTTCTAGACTTAGGCACCAGCGGTCAACCTTCCTTGCCTTATCGGTCTATCAACAGTTAGGTGTAGGCATGAAAGCTGTCTAACCAGCACCATGTGGTTAGGCAATTTCCTGATCTGACTTGAATTCAATGGCAACTTTTAAATCAATCGATCAGAAGAACTTAGAGTAGGTTGGGGCACATTGAGGAGGTTGTGAGACCTTGAATCCAAAATGATCGCCCCAACAGCATCGCGCTGAAGCAATCCTCGTTTAGTGAGCTTGCCCTGATGGAGTATAATAAAGTAGTCATTTTACTCGTGTTTTTTACTTCTTCAAATTATATGTTGTGGAGCTGTTCTTCCCCGAAAAATACGCGCATCCCTCTGTAATTATTCATGGCCACATCATCTTACAAGTCCTGTAGTCTTAAGACACGACTATCAACGGCTTTAGAAAACTTTGGGATAATGGCTCTTATCAAATTTAAGTTGACAAAGAGGTTTTCTCCTTATACTGTATATATATATATATCTAATCTAAATAAATAGATATTATGTGATAGGCTTAGATAGTTATTAATTATTTATGCTCTGTACTATATAGATATTATTTTATTAATCCTCCAGAATTCATTGATCAAGTGTGAAATGCAGTCCCCTCCTGGCATCTAAAGATATACTGTTGATCTTCGGATATGTCAAATATACTAATACTCTTTTGGATATTGAAAGATCAGTATTTTAATAGAATGATCATCATGTTGAAAGGTTAAAGTCGTCCGTACAAGCCTCTTGAGCCTTGCTTGCGGATAAATGATTATCTGAAAGATAATAACAAGGAATTCGATGTATTTCCAAACATTTTGTGGCATGTTAATTGTATGGATTCTCAAAAATGACCAACTCTTATCTCTAATTTTTGACAATTCAAATGTCGCTATACAACAGACTTAATTGCAATTTCTACAAACAAAATTCTACACTCTTTTACTACTCTTTATTAACTGCTGAAGGAGGAGTGTTTACGTAATTGCGTCCCTCTCTCTACTTACTACTCTTTATTAACTGCTGAAAGAGGAGTGTTTCGTAATTGCGTCCCTCTCTCTATTTTACCCTCTTTTAAAATTATACATATATACATGGCGTATACGTGTGCACGTACACATGTATATATACAAGCATGAACATGAACATACATACATCTCTCTCATCAATGATGGTCAAATCTTGAACGTCATACCAGCAGCACATAAATGGAAAACTTAGAGCAGAAGTAATTAAAAGAGAAACATGAAGAAGAGAAGGATAAAGAGTAATAAGAAGCAAGAGAACACGTAGGATCTTGCACAAAAGGAAAACATCCAAGCAGACGAAGCCAAATCCAAACATGAAAGATTTTGTCCCCGTTGAAGCTTTTGTTGTCTATAGGAGGCAAGGAATCTAGTCAGCATATATTAAGCAAAGTACAGAGCAATTGGGATCCTCTCCTCATCTTAATATTTCCTAATGAAAAAGAACAATTTTTCAAAACAACCTCATTTTATTTTATTTTTTATTTTTAAAATCGACCTATTTTTTTATTTACCAAAACCGATCCGTTTTTTACCGCGTCAGCCTAATCACCCTCCTAAACAGTCGGGGTTGTAAACCCCGACTATTTAGGACATAAAATTTTAGGAATTAAGGCTTCTAATTGTGATTTAACACCCTCCTAAATAGTCGGGGTTAGTAACCCCGACTGTTTAGGAGGGTGATTAGGCTGACGTGGCAAAAAACGGGTCGGTTTTGGTAAAAAAAAATGGGTCGATTTTAAAAATAAAAAAAATAAAATGGGGCTGTTTTGAAAATTTGTTCAATGAAGAATTGTGAAGAGATAGGAGGGGGGCCCACAAGGATGGGTGGGAAAATGAAAGGTCATGATGAAAATGAAAGAGTAGGATCTCCTTATTAAGAGATATTAGGAGCTTTTCATTAGGAGAGGATCCGGATCCAAACGGAAAATTTTATAGATAGAGAAAAATTATCATATCCTTATATTCACTAACATAAACCCTCATCAACAGTGTTTCCCAAGCCAATCACCAGACTTGTGAAGGTTTTTTTCAACGTTAAGACTCTTCAATCTTTCATATGTGGACTTGGTCCCTCAAATTATTAAAATTGGTGCTAGACCCCATTCTTAAGTTATTCTGAATTTACCCCCATATCATTGAACTGGCTATTACTTACGGTAATTTTTTAAGTTATTATTAGATTAGTCCTTCCAATCAAGAGCGGAGCTAGCAGTTGAAGGATTGATTCAAAACAGAGTAATGATAACTAGCAATTTCAATGATTTGAGCAACTAATTTCAATATAACTTATGCAATGCGGGACCTGATAGCTATTTCAATGAAAAGACTAATTTCAAACATGAAAATTTTAAGAGGGAAAGGACCCCGTATCTGAATCATTAAAACAGCACTTATTACTGTGTTCCTATCAACATTTTTATATATTATTCATTTAAATAGCAATCATGCATACAACGTATATATAAATGCTTAGCATTACAGAATTTATAAGTCGCAATCAAAAGGGGGGCAATAATAATTGTGTTTTGCCGGTGTCAGCCTCTCATTCTGTATCGTCCCCTCCAACGTCATCAATGGACACCCACCATGTTTGCATATTTAAAGCTGTTGCTTAAATGAAAATTTAGTAGCAAGAGCTAAAATGCTTGCACTTGGAACTACTGGGACCTCTGATAGCAACATAAGATGCAAATTAATAATTATGTACTTCTAAATTAAGTCTAATCAAAGGAATAAACACAATAATATGGTTGAAGGTAACTTGAAGCTATGCAAATTAACATATAAGCTACTCAATAAAAGAGTTATAAGACATTAACCTGGCATAAGAATCCAAGCCCAAGATACTAATTTCCAATTTCGCCTGCAAACAAAAAACACGTATCAGCGTGTAACAAAGAAGCAAATTATGGTAGCATTTGGTCACCCAATACAACCGATGCTTGATAGAATAATGCTTCGTATGACAAGATCTCTTAGAACTATATAAATCAAGTTATGAAACTAATTGTTAACTAGAAACGTACAGATTTTATTTTACAATTAGAAAAATACCGACTTTCCGATTACGAACACAAGAGAAATGTAAACGTTTTCTAGTTTGCTGACGAGAGGTAAACTATTATAATATACCTCTAAGTACAGTTAACATTGAACATCAAAACACTGAAACAACAGAAAGCGTGCTGGGGATGATCAGGTCAAAGTTCTTTACATGATTCTAACATCACGAAGACCTCGACTTTTATCTTATGTGTTATTGCACAATCCAAACTCCTCTCTGGCTTTCTTCAGCTTGAAGCCGTGATGCAAAGATTTAAGGCTTGCATTGCAGAAGAGAAAATCTTGATGCATCAGCAGAAGGTATCCTGAACCCACAGAATAGTTGATTTTGGAATCTTTTATCTGATGTTTCTCGCTTTGGTGGATCAAAGATTTAAGAAACATTCGAGTATTTGACTTTCCACACTACAGCTGATATGTCATGACACACGCAATTTTCCGCGTCAAACCATAGAAAAACTGTATCTTCCACATGCATTCTCTCTCTTTCCATAGGAGTGCCAACATTTCCATAATTATCAACTGATGAGTTATTCCAGCAAATTGTATCACACTGGTCCACCTGTAATAAGGGTATATACTCAACATTAGCGTCCTCATTATACAACCTATAGCAAATAAACTCTAGCTAGTAAAATAAGTAAACAACTGATAAAGAAATGAAAGATACTAAAGAGAAATATAACAAAAAATTCAGAAAAGTCTACAAGTAAAATACATCACCAACTACAGTTTCGTTCTTCAACAAAAGATCAGGTTTGAATCAGACATTCAAGAAATTAGTAGCCACGCTGTTCTGTCAGTGAAGGCGGAGGATCTGTATGTATTATTATTCACCAAATAACATCCTTTGTCTTGGCATCGACAAATGCGCTTAGCCAATTGACGTTCACCAAATAACATCCTTTGTTTTGGCATCAACAAATGCACTTAGCCGATTGTCATGGATAGATATCCATATAGTTTATGAAGAGGTAAAGTGCTGTTTACTCAGCCATCAGATTAGTAAGAGCCAAAAAGATTAGGTCAATGAAACCTGCTCTAAGGATTGAAACCCACCCAACCCTGACAATTCTAGCACAATTTAAGATCCAAATGGACAACAGTGGAAAGGATTAGGCTAATTGAGGCGAACCTTAATCCAGGGGCATTTTTAGGCTCATTCTGCTTAATTATTTAAGAAACAGTCAATAATGGCATTTAATAAAACTTTTTTCCCCCTTTCCATGTTTACTGAAATTGTTGTTGCTTTTAAAGGATTCCTTTTATAAGCAGTTGCTGCTTTCTGTGGTTTTAGGCTAACCCATAATCAGGTCATATCACTTGGCCACTTAATGGTGGATGAACATATGCTAATTCCTTATAAATCCTAGTTACCTAAACACATGAGAATGACATGAGTTGCAGAAATGTCATTGCCAGTTATCTAGCATGGTTGCAAAGCCCAAAGGGGTGAAGGAAGAGACTAGAAAGGCAAAATGTCAAGGATATGCTTCTCGTCAAGAACACATCTTCATAGAAAAAGAACAATGAATTCACATGTCATTGTTGACAAGCCAAAACAAGTAACACCCTGATCTTTCAAACAATCACGTTCTCTTTGTAGAGCCTCAAATTTGTTTCAATTAGCATACAGCCACTGAGATCTCTTCGAAATTTGATGCTCCTACTAGACTAATTGCCCACATCAATACTGAGTTATAGTACTTCAATGCTTCGAATTCCGTGGAAGATCACATAACATGACTATAGATCTTTTAATCATCAAAAGTGCGAAAGTATCTGATACAGATACTAATGTGCAAAGGTGTAAGTACACAATCTTGTGGTTTTCCTGTACAGTTTACTAGTGTGCAAAAGAAAAAAAATAATAAGACTGCTGAAAATAAAATTCATCCAACCAATATCTGCGTCTAGTATCATCCAAAACAATGTTTATAGGATGTTCTAGTTTATGGCCGATCTGTGGCTCTTATTTGATCTGTGACCTCATAATTTCATTAATGCCAATCATTCTCAAGCCTCCCTATTAATAGCATGAAAACCATTTGGCAGTTTAGTTTCATTCCAATGAATACAGAATTAATCCCCTCCATTCACATGCTGATGTCACATTGGAAACAGAAGCATAGTAATCTTTTGAGAATGGTCATTTGGATAAAACAAAATAAAAAATCAAATATTGAAAGTGAACTCTTCATTTAGGGCCTGTTCGTTTATTTCCTAAAAACCAAGAAATGGAAATGGAAAAGGTGGAAATCTCAAAATAATCCATTTCTTTCATTTCCATCCCTAAAACTCACCCACAACATCCAATAAAATATTATTTTCATCCAACAACTTATCCACATCATCTAATAAAATATTATTTTCATCTAACCACTCATCCACCACATCTAATAAAATATTATTTTCATCTAACAACTCATCCATCACATCTAATAAAATATTATTTTCATCTAATTCATCCATCACATCTAATAAAATATTATTTTCATCCAAACATCACTCAACTCATCTCTTTTCATCATTTCAAATCACTCACATCATCAAATAAAATATTATAACAATTCACCTCATCTCATTAATATTTCATTTCTTTGTTTTCATCCTAAAAAGTTGTGAAAACACTTTTCTTAATCTTTCTTCACATCACCCAATAATACAATGACAACTCATCACATCTCATTTCATTTCTTATTTTTAAGAATGAACCAAACAAAAGAAAACAACAAAACTACAGGAAATAGGTTTCTTATAATTCATTTCCTTATTTTTTTCGCCAACTGAACAACATCAAAACTAGTTTTCTTAAAAAATCACTCACATCATCCAATAATAATGTGACAACTCATCTCATATCATCTCAATTTCTTTGATTTCCTTTTTTTTTAGCCAACCAAACAATTAAAAAACCCATTTTTCTTAGAAATAGTTTTCTATTTCTTTGATTTCCCATTTTTTTAAGGCAAACGAACAGGCCCTTAAAGGAAAAATGATAAATATAATGGACTTTATACCCACTTCACTTGCCGGCAACTCACATACCTAATACTAGTTGCATTTCTGACGGGAACAGAAAAACACCAGAAAACTTTGTCAACAAATTTTGAATGAACAGTAACCACGAACAGAACTACCTTGTGAACAGTATCCGTGAACAGTATATCTTTTTTTTATAAAATAAAAGACAAACAAAGTAAAATAAATTGAGGTTAGATCGGATTCGCTCATAGACATCAAACCGTTAGTTAAGCCAGATTCACACGCAGATGCTTAACCTTTTCGGCTTCACACCTAGAAATAATAGCTTCCGTCTTAGAAAAATCACATAAGATTTTCTTCAAGTCAAACTTTCATTAATTGTTCATAATCTATCCACTGCATTACATTATAGAGTTTGGAATTCTTATCTAAAATAAATTCAAATACTCATCCTATCTCTAAAACCAGTTCAATCTTAACCATAAAATAATCCAACGAACTTAATCCTAACACAATTCAAATCAAAGCAACTATATAAAATAACTAATTCTCACCTATCTAATACCAAAACTAAATCTAAAATCACAACCAATCTATCTTCAATCCGAATCAAACCTAAACAGCGATTGCGTCCTGCATTAGTTCTAACCTTATTAGAGAAAACTCGACTCGAGCTTTAAAGAAGGATAAAATGATTAATCCTTGAATTCTTTCGAACTCTAATTGGATGGACTCCAATGTCTTCAATAGTATTTGGAAAATGTGATAACAGTTCAGTCGAGAAGGATCCGGTATTACAAATTACATTATTGAATTGTCTTGAACATGAAGTACCTCGAACCAGATGGTGTTCCGATCATGCATGAGGATTTGAGGCTCGGGCTCGGGCTCAGGCTTAGGTTCACACGCTTAACTATTGTTCAAGCTCTGAATCTGATTTCTTATCTGATTGTGGTTCAAGCTTTGGTTTAGGATGCAATTCTGGTTTTGGTTCTGACTGAAACTTAGCACCTGATCAGGGTTGGGCCACTCTTGTTGGTGTTGCTTTGAATTTTGAAAGGAGAACATAAGATTTTATAGTTCTAGTTGGATAACTAGAATACTTCTTTTCAAGAATAATCTTCATAGTCCCCCATGAACGTATATTGATAACAAAAAGCATTATGAAACCATCAATCTTCAGCTTCTCCTCTCAACCTACACTTAGCATATGTATACATTTCCCAATCCGATATATCGTAAATAGTAAATAAATCTTCTAGGTCTTGTACCCATAGTTCGAAATTATTTTTTCCTCATATCCATCAAATCCATAAAAATAAGACACATTGCCCAATTTCAAAGGATGAAATTCAAATTGTTGTGATAAAGAAAGTGGATATTTGCCCATGATTATCGTGGACCGCTGAACTTGCTCTGATAACAATTGACGGGGAATGAAAAATCGTCGGAAAACTTCGTCAAGAAACTTTGGCTGAACAATAAACATGAACAGAACCCCAAAGTGAACATCATCCGTGAACAATATCTTTTTTTAAATAAAATAAAATACGAACAATGTAAGATAAATTGAGGTTAGATGGGATTCACTCACAGACATCTAATCGTTAGTTAAGCCATATTCATATGCAGATGCTTAACCCTTTCGGCTTCACACCGAGAAACAATGACTTCCGCCTTAGAAAAATCACACAAGATTTTCTTCAACTCAAACTATCATATATTCTTCATAATCCCTCTACTACACTACAGAAATCTCCTCCCTCGTTTATAGAGTTTGGAATTCTTATTTAAAACAAATTCAAAAATCTATCCTATCTCTTAAACCAATTCAATTTTAACCATAAAATAATCCAACAAGCTCAAATCCAATGTTAAAAAAAACCGTTATATAACCCTTATAATCCGTTTTGTAACTTAACGGTGCCCACTTGTTATGTAACACACTCATTTAACAACGAAACTGTTTAACCAAAAAAACACGTTATATTACGTTAAATGTGCGTTACGCTATATAGTCAATTAACATGAAATTTTTAAATTAAATTACATCTTTGATTAGAACACGTGGATGCATCTCCATCGTCCAAATCATTTAAACCCTATCTCTTTTAGTCTCAATCACCATACTCTCTGCCTGCGAGTATGCGATCTATTCGCCTCCTCTAACCCAAACCCTAATTTGTTACCTCCTCTGAAAATCCTCTAACCATCGTCGGCTTTTGGGGCTCACCACAAATTTTTTATTTTCAGTTATGCATTAGGCATCATAATTTATATCATTTAAATAAACAGTGATTCTGAAATTATCTTCCAAATTTTAATCTTTTGTATTTCTAATTTACCGAAAATCATATCAAACTTGTTGTTCCATTACTTTACCCTTCCACATAATTTTTTAAGATCTGTCCCAGAATTAGAGTACAAAGATTAATTAATGGGTTAATTGTGTTAGTGAGATAATTACTTTCAGTTACTACTTGATTTTTATTAGGTTTTAGATTTCAGTTTTTGGCTAACACTAGATTTTGTGAAATTAAGTTTGTACACAATTTCTATATATACAAATTTTCATATTGTTGTTACATAACCATGTTTAGTTTGGTTGATATGGTGAGCTTGATTAGAAATTAGAATATTTTTGTAAAGTTAAGAACATGAGAGTTGGAAGTGTTTGGTTTATTTCAAACTTATTTTTATTGCCTTAAACTTGGCAATGTTAACGTATTTGATCATTTGATGATGTTTTTGGAATGGTTGTTTTAGTCATATATGACTAACTTTTGTTAAGAAATTATCACACTATATTTTTATATTTAATAATTGTGATGTTATGTTTGAAAAGTTTGGTGCTTCTAGGTATTAAAATTATTATGAATAATCAATATTCATAAAATATCTAAATACTTAATAAACAATATAACATACGTTATATGTTACATTTTTTTTTACGTTTTCTCCCCTTAACCTTTAACAGGAGGTCAAGCGTTATATAACTCATTTTTGTTACTTTCAACATTACTCAAGTCCTGATATAATTCAAATTAAAACAACTAAACAAAATAACTAATTATCACCTATCTAAAACCAAAACCAAATCTAAAATCATAACAAATCTATCTTCAATCTAAATCAAATCTGAACAGCGATTGTGTCCTGCATCAACTTCACATGCATAGTTTCTCACAAATATTTTTCTCTCCTCCCTCTGAAATAAAGAGATACCACCTCTTTACATGAATAAAACAAGATCTAATCTTAACAAATAGATAACACTAAATAACACATCCTAACAAGCAAATACAATAGTAAATAAACAACAAACTCAATCCTAACTATAGAATTCAACTAAAAAGAAAAATAAATCAAATCCTAACTAGAAGCTAATCCTCAATCTGTCCTGCATCAAAACTTTTGGAGTTGAATAAACTCGGCCTCGAGCTTAAAATGATGGACTTCGAATTGCTGCATTGTTGATGCCGACGCTCCAATAGTGGATCTTTCCGGCTCAATGTGGGGGAACAGACTGCTAATGATGGTTATTGGATGAAATAAAATAGAAATGGGAAAAATACAAATGTTGGGCTTCACACTCAGCACTTCACATGCCGATAACTCACATGCCTAATACTAGTTACAATTCACATGCAGGGTTTCTCATAGATATATTTCTCTCATATTAAAATGAAGAAATACAACCCCTATTATAAGAATAAAACAAAATCTAATCCTAACTAATAGATAACAACAAATATCACATTCCAACAAAGTAACATATTCAATCGTAAGTAAACAACAAACTCAATTAGTACACTAAAGATCTCAACTAAATGAAAAATCAAATCATGACTAGAAGCTAATTTTCAATTGTCCTGCATCACATTGCATCACCAGTATGTTACTTGACAATTCATGGATTAAAGTCACCTGGACAAATACATTTTCTGTTTGTCAATGCATGCAGACATTTTGAGGATACACTATTTCTTGGTACATTAAGTACATTATAATTTATATCAAGTCATCATATAGAAACGAGCTTCCCACGTTCCTCACCGTTATGTATTTATCTCTAGAAGGGTTTGTTGGTAACTTGGATGTCAAACAAAAAATTTCAGCAATGATAATTACAAATGACAGTTTACATTCTAACAACATAACTATATTACAGACTAAAAGTTTTACATCATAAAATAGGACTATTTTGGAATCCAAAAAATTAATTTTACATGCCTAATCTTGTCTGACAGATCATGGAAGACATGTTTAAGGATAAACTGTCAATTTTTTCAGTCTACGCTTGAGTAAAAATGTGTCTTTAGCAGAAGCCTGTTAAGAATCTTAAACATTACAAAAGCAAACAAGGACCGCCCCAATTTCCTTAAAACCTTTACCTTGATCTTTGTTAAATGCTCATGACTCCAAAATCAAAGCCATTACCTTAATCTTTGTTAAACGCTCATGACTCCAAAATCAGAGACCATTTAAGCTAAAAAAGGAAGGGAAAAAAAAAACAAGGAAACAGTCATAACTTATAAGCTATGCCTAGGCATGGGGGCATTTACTTCTGATTGATATCTAAGTCAGAATAGCTTTATCATGTCAAACAAACCGCTTTATTATGGTATTCAAGATGTCAAGTAGGTAATACACCTGCATTTCAAGAGACTTTGATCGTATCAATTACATTCAAAGCAAATTACACTTCTAACACAGTCTTAAGTTACATAGAGATCGAGTGTTCATCATCACTGAATCTGCTTTCATAAAATGCTGCAGAACAATAATTATTATTGTTGGAAGAGGAAAGAACATTTTCTTGAAGTTAGTTGTGGGCCCATAATAAGTAAGACTCCAATCAATATAATCAATATCCGCTAGATAATGACAGGAAAGCTGGCATTTTAATCAAATATTTACTATAATTATATGGCTTTTATAGGACAACAATTTCCACAGGATGACGAAATTCCATAAAAACAACACTAAGACATGATTCGGATATCACTTAAAATAGAAAGAATATTGATTATTTACTGAAGAGAGAGCATGAAATTTAATGGGATTCGTAAAGGTTAATAAATGACAGCTCATACGGCTTTTTACATTAAGATTAGACAGGAACCTTACTTGATTGTTCGGTTTCCTATCAGGTAGTACCACTTCCTTTACTAAGAAACTGAATTGCAGAATACAGCCTTCTCCGTGTTCCCATAGAAGCTATACCCATCTCTTTGAGGTCTTCATAAGTAAGCAGGGGCAATGCTTCTTCATCCACTTCGTGCATCTCAAACAAATCGGCATATTCACCAAATCCCAGCTCCACCAACCATTCATTAACACTATGAACAACATTTCTTACTGAACAGGGATTCTTGCCACTCAAACAGTGATCATAATCCGAAGGCAAAATATTCTCTTGCTTCCAAGAATTCTTTGGCCGCAAGTAGTTTGAGTTCTCTTCACAAGCATCTCGATCCCTATCCCAAGTATCATGATCCAAAATACCATAATCCGGATTACCATAGACATAGGCCTTTTCGGTTCTTTTAGTGATTTCGGGACTAATCCTGGAAGAATTATTGGTGCCACTGCGCTGCTTCTTGAGTCTCCTCTTTCGATTTACCATCCCGAACCCCGTCCTAGGGTTTCTCATATCAGTCTCTTCCAATCCCAAATCATAATCTTTTGAATTAGGATTCCAGTTCTCCCAATTCTGAGTATCAACTAGATTGTTGCAGCCCCTGGGCTTGTTTGGCTCCACTTCCCATCTCTGTGCATCCAATTTCGGTTTCGAGAAACTCTTTCGAGAAAATGATACAAAAATATCACCTATATCCCCTAATCTCACATTCGGCCGCCTCTGCCTTTTCGGGTTCATGCCGAAATCCATCATCTTGCTAGCCCTTTAGCTTACAGTTCAGAGTCTACAACCATAGTTCAAAGGAAGAGCATCATTCAGGATAAATTTTCATGAATATACATCAGAATGAGATTCAAGTTCGAACTACACTTGTAATAAAATTTTTTTTTAACAAAAGAACAAATACTTTTGAACTTGCATTAAATAGAAAAACTCCAACTTTACCTTATCCTGATGATAACAGATTTCCCTAAAGATTCTACGCATGCTTTTATTCAAAGAAACCAGCAACCATACCCTATTTATGAGAAAATTGTCATAGCAACTGATGCCTCAAAATATCACACAAGGGAATAAAAAACAACGTCCAGATCAAATTCACAGGACCACATATGGTGAAATGAAAGGTAACCCACTTCACAAAAATTAAAAAACATTCTAAATATATTCATAATCATAAGAAAACAAAATTCACAAGCCAATGAGTATCTATCAATGAAAATGAATAAAAGGGAGCTCGCCTAATAGCATTTCACTCTGGGGACCTGAGATGGGGAGAAAAGGTAGAGGATAACAGTTATCAAATTGGGACCTGAAGGTCTTCTCGTCTCTTCAGTCTTTTTCTAGATTCGAAATTAAGGGATTCTGTATCGGGCTACCATTTTGTTGTAGAACTGGACTCGGAGAGAGCCCAAGATCATTGTGTTTTGATACTGGGCTTACTTCATCGTAATTGAGTAGAAATTAAGCAGGCCCATTTTCGGGGGGAAAAGTTTGTTATTTTTCCACTTAATTTATGTGTTTTTTATGTAAGTTGGACAAAATCCTTAATTGAATGGGAAAAAATTTCTGAAACTATTTGTTTTCTAATTTCTTTGAATTCTCAAATCCTCTTTGATTTGTTCCGTTGTTCACTTAGATTTATTCAATTTTCTATATTTTTTTAAAAATCTTTGTTCAAAACAAATTTTAGCTGAAGAAACTGTTGGACTTTTGGTTCATGAAAAAGGCAATTTCGCCTTTGGGTCCGTTTAGATAATGGAAGTATTAGAAGTAAGAAGTAAGTTATAGAAGTAACTTTCAAAGCTATGAAGTAGGAAGTAGTGGAAATAACATTTTTTTTGTTTGTTTCATATATTTTTAGAAGTAATGAAAGTAGAACTTCTTCCTCTTCATTTACTTTTTTTGTTTGGATAACATTTGGAAATATTATTAGGAAGTAATTTTATCAATGAAAAGTTGTTAGAAGTAACTAATAAAGGAAATATTAATAAAAAAAATTATTTATGTCATAATTAATATGCATTTCAACTACTTCCGAGCTACTTCTGAGTATTGAGGATTGGAAATATTTTGAAAGTAAGGATGACACGTAGGCGCGCCACATAAGCATTTAGGGAAGTATTGGAAGTAAGTTTTTCATAGAACCAAACACACTTTTTTGCTTGGAAGTAGCAGAAGTAGCCTTTACTTCTTTTACTTCAGCTACTTCACAATTACTTCCGTGCAAACAAACAAGCCCTTTGTGAATAGTCCCACGTTGGAAAGTGAGAAGAAGTTCAAGAAGTTTATAATGGTTCACATCTCAATGGGCTTTGAGTTAGTGTTTTGGGCCTAGTATTGTTTGGGCTGTTGCTCCACACGCCGCCTTGCCACGACGCGCCCCGCCGCACTCGCACGAGTTTTTTGCCTCTCAAGTTTTATTTTTTGCACATTTTACACAAGCTTGTAACGGTCGCGGGAGTTATGGAAACATATAACGGACGCGGGATATACATGTAACGTGTGCGGACTATCAGCATCAGTTATCAGTTCGAGAGGCTATATAAGAGCTGAAGCTCATTCAGAGAAGACACATCAACAAGAAGAATCCTCTAATCCCCTCTCATCCTCTAAAAATTTGTCTGATATTATAATTGTTACATTTTCGGGCAACCGTCTTCATCTGAGCAGAAGCTCTGCTACTCGCGCCCGAGTACATAGGTCGGCCTTCCGAGGGCTTTTACCGCTAGGGGGAGAGGATCGACTTCGCTAGGGTGAAAGGCGTGTCCTCTATCTTCTAGGACAGTGAATCACGACTGCACCCGTTCAGACCTGGTGTTCTAACTCTTTTATTTTCAGTTTTATAATAATTTTTTTAACTTTTAATAGCAGAAACTGTAAGATATCATCGTTTCTAGATTTAAAAGTAATGCATATGTCATGCATTTTTTTTTGCAAGTGCAAGTATTTATTCAGACGTTTAAAAAGCAAACTTGTTTAATAATATCAATTGTTTCTAATCATCATGGAGGGATCCCCCGCCCCCCCGGGTCGTATTTATAGAATGAGGATTTTTTTCTCTAAAAACATGACTAGTGTTTTCTAGTGCACGTCACCCACGCATGACATGATAATCAGGGGCGGAGCTGAATGGGTGCCCCTGGGTTCCCAGGACACCAGTAAAAACTGAATATCTACCAGAGAGCACATATAAAAATAACAAAAGTATAGATGGTTTAGCGGAAAAGGGTCTCAAGGAACCCGACATGCGCGCGGGTTTGAATCTCGCAAGGAAACCAGCATGCGCGCGGGTTTGAGTTTTTTCAGCTTAATGATAGTTTGGTAGCTTATGTTGAGAGAGATGTATTTTCCACCATTACCGATGCATATATAGGACACCATAAGATTAAAATCCAAGCTCCGCTACTAGATGTATTTTCCACCATTACCGATGCATCTATAGGACACCATAGGATTAAAATCCTGGCTCCGCCATTGATGATAATGGAGAAGTTGCTAAAATGGAGGGTGCTCAACGTATTTTTTCCCCGAATTTTTTCATAAGTTCTTCAAATTTACTTTTGTCTCGGGAGTGTTGCCATCTTATCTCAAATTCTACACACAAGCGTGGGTCCCACGTGGACAGAATACCAGCCAATATGATATCTTCTCGTACGAGTAAGATTATAGATGATTGGTAGAAGGGATATTTCTTCAGTTTTATCTGAAACATTGGGTAGATGGCACTTAAATAATTAAGTTGTTTTATGATTGATACGATGATATATGAGTATTTTTTGTTATGCAAACGTGGAAAAAAAAATTTAAATATTCCGATATTAAACTCGCATGCTAAATTGATTCTAAACGTCATATAAGAATATTCAGGTCAAATCTAATTGGGGGGTGGGGGGGTAAAGTGATTGTTTTATACCTTTATTCTGTTTCCCAGTCTATTTCTTAGTGGGTTTAAACATTGTACACGCTTAAAAATGTAAACCTACTAGAGTTCTTCTCCAGCTGTTAGAAAAGAACTCTAACCTAAAGTCGAGCTTCACAAAAAGTTTGAAACATTAGAGAGAAATAGTTTGATGATTGCAGCTATAAGGTTAGGAGTTAACCCCACCACGGTTAGGTTTTTAATTGAAATACTAATAGACGGGCCGTTTTACAAGATCATATGCGATTTGAGGGACTAATATGCAATTGCCAAGGTTTGAGGGGCATACGTATTGAAGATGTAAGGGACTAATATCTAAAATCCCTACAAATTAACAATTTCCTCAAACCGCGCATATTAGCCAGGCCCCGCGTTAAAATGCGCCCTTGCCAGGCTCGATCATCCGATGATGATTCAAATATGATTCGTTCCTTTCGCAGCACAGAAGGCATCAAATCTAGTATCTCTCCCCCTCTCTTTCTCATATCCGACATGGATTTTTGGCAGAGAGCTCGAGTGTTCGCGGAGGAAGCAGCCAAGAAATCACAGGAAATCACCAAAGAAGCGGCCAAGAAATCGCAAGAGCTCACCAAAGGCGCGGCCAAGCTCTCGCAGGAGTTCGTCTCCGAGACGGCCAAGAAATCCAAGGAGCTGGCCGTCGAGGCGTCGAAGAAGGCCGACAAGATCAAGATCGAGGCCCTGAAGCGCGCGGATCAGATCAAGACGCTCGCCGGCGAGATCGAGATCCCGATCCCGATCTCGCCGATTAAGCACTTGTCTTCGCAGGAACCGGCGACGGAGGAGGCGACGGAGGATGAGTTGGAGAGGTTTGGGGTTACCGATGAGCTGAGGGAGTTCGTCAAGGGGATCACTATTAGCACATTTCGAGATTTCCCTATGGAAGGTGATTTCTTTTTTCCTTTTTCGCCTTTTTGGTTCATAATTTGCTAACAAATTGTTGAATCTTGCGAAAAATGAGCATTTAAGAGTTTTCAGTGGATTTTGTTACGTGGTTATTAGATTCTTGAATTCGAGCTTATAATTAGATTAATGCTTGGGTGTTATTACAGAGTGGTGAATTTTGCGAAAAATAATCTATTATAGAATGTGTTAGGAAAATGAGCATTTAAGCATTTTTTTTTCAATTAGCTTGTGTTAGTAGACTTGAAGGGCAAGAGGCAGCGTGGTTAATCTAGTAGATTTGAAGATAATCAATTATGTTTGTTAGATGATATCAATGAGCCACCCTATTGATCAGATATTACAGCCACCCCATATGTATGTATACTCGTCTCCTAGTGTGAGCTACTGATTGATGGGTTGTTTGGTATGTGTGTATATATAAAATCCTGTAAATCTGATCATCAATATCAAGTTCTCTTCAATACTAACTTAACATGGTATCAGAGCTCTAGTTCAATCCATTAGGTTCAATCTCTAAATCAATTCTAATCCTACATCCTCAAATCAAATTTTACCACAGAAACATTCCTAGCCACCGGTCTTACCTACTACTGTCGCGGACTTTGAGTGTTGTCCACTCTGGTGTGATCCTTGTTTATTGTCTTCAAACCCGCCGCTCTTTCCGTCTGAACCTTGACCGCTCCCGCGCTCTCTCTCCATCGCCATCGCCATCGCCCGTTGCGGCCCTCGTCTCGACGAGATCCACCTTCGACACTCAAAGCTCTTCCCTCGCCCTAGCCGCCGGCCACATCGACCGCGCCGTCGGCCCCGCCGCCGCCATCCACTCTTCTCAACACCCTCGAGATCTGTGTGAGAGAGAAAGATCTGTGAAGAGAAAGAGTGAGAGAGAAATCACATGAGACTGCCCAACTGCCCTCTTTTATCCAAGGCCAAAAAAAGGCCCATCTTCAGGCCCATATGAAAAATCTCATTCAATTCATCTCCTTGATTCAAGAGACCTAAACTAATTACTTCAGTCTCTTTCTCATCAGCCTCTAAAGTTGCCTTCTCAATCAACTCATTGATCTCCTCTGTGTGTGAAAACTTCCTATACTGAAAACCGTATATTAGAACTATCATCATCATTTAACTCACAATGGACAAGGAAGGACTCTACACCTTTCCACCCCTTGATGTGCAACTTACAAATATTAAAAATTACACCGCATGGTCTCTTACTATGTAGTATAATATTCGAGCTTTCACACTATGGGGTTATATTGACGGATTTCTTCGTTGTCCATCCAAAACTATTATTGTACCTTCATTATCTACATCTTCTGTATCAAAAGTCGCTTCTAGTGATTCTACTACTAATGATTCTCAGATCACTTATTCTCAGTAGATATCTACTGATCAACAGATCATGACATATATTATGCGTTCTGTAGCTATTCCTATTCGGCTCTCCCTTGGTCGAGCATCTTTATTTCGTGAGCAGTGGCTAGCTCTCAGTCGCATATTTGTTCAAACTGGTGTTGCTCGTGAGTATCAACTTCATCAAGCTCTTCAGGATGCACGTCAGGGTGATCGGTCTATTCAAGATTTCTATTCCTTATTACAGGCTATTTGGAGGAATTGCAGATGATGGAGGAACATGTTCCCTGAGACGCTTCCAGACTTTGCTATAGCATTTTAAAAACAACTTGATCGTCAACAATTATATCACTTTATCATGCGCCTTCGCTCTGAGTTCGAAAGCTTACGTGGATACATTCTTCATCACAGTCCTCTCCCCAGTCTCCGTGAAGCAGTGGCTGAGTTCATATCTGAAGAGACGCGCCTTCAGATGTTCTTCCCTCTAGTTATTACATCTCAGTCATTACCCTCATCACATACTGTTCTAGCTACTCCTCAGCAGTTCTCTTCCTATCGGGGTCCTTCTAACAGTACATCTTGTTCCTCTGCCTTCCGGTGTTAAACCGGTAAGCTGTAAATGGATTTATAAGGTCAAGACCCGATCTGACGGTTCTATTGAGCGGTACAAAGCTCGTCTTGTAGCTCGGGGATTCTCACAAGAGTATGGTATTGACTATGAAGAGATATTTGCTCCTGTTGTAAAATAACATCCATTCACACTCTCATTGTTGTTACAGCTGCAAAACATTAGCGCTCCTCCAGGACATGCATGTCGCCTTCGTCGCGCTATATATGGTCTTAAACAGGCTCATCGGGCTTGGTTTGAGCGTTTTCGGCAATCTCTTCTTTCTATTAGTTTCATTGAAAGCCTAGCTAACTACTCTCTATTTTATCAGTCCTCAGCCTCCGGTACAGTCATTCTATTATTTTATGTTAATGACATGATAATCACTGGGAGTGATTCCTCTGCCATTACTTTCTTAAAGCAACATCTTTAGAGTCAATTTGAGATGAAGGATCTTGGATTACTTCGTTACTTTTTGGATAGTGAGGTTGCTTCATCCTCTCGTGGCTATCTTCTCTCTTAGCATAAGTATATTGTAGACATTCTTGAACGTGCTACTCAGTGATCCTTCCATTGCTACCACTCTTCTATCCACACCGATGAAAATGAACTTGAAGCTAAGACATGATGATGGCGATTCTTTATCTTAGCCTCCTCGATATTGGGAACTTATCGGAGCATTGGTTTATCTTTCAGCAACACGTCCAGATATCGTAGTTTGTCAGTAGTCGAACTTCCATTCATTATGCAGCTCTAATTCGGGTTCTTCGATATCTCCGTGGCACTATAACCCAATCATTATTTTCCCCCTCAGACTTTTCTTTGTCTCTTCGTGCACATTCTGATGCTGGATGGGTTGATGCTGGATGGGTTGATGATGCAGACACTCGATGTTCCACTACTGATTTTTGTATTTTTCTGGAATCATCTCTCATCTCTTGGCGTAGTAAGCATCAATTGTTGTCTCTCATTCTAGTACAAAGTCCGAGTACATGGCGTTGACAGACACCACAGTTGAGCTGAAATAGCTCCACACTCTTCTGCGAGATCTTGATGTCTTTGTTATTTCCCCTATCACTTTATACTGTGATATTTAGAGTGTCATCTCCATTTCCACAAATCCGGTATTTTATGAGCGTACCAAACACATTGAGGTGGATTGTCACGTGGTTCGACAGGAGCATGTTGCTGGAAACATTACACTCTCATATGGTCTTTAGTTTATTTCATTTGCTTGTTTCTTCTTGGAATATTTATGTTCATTCTATTGCTAATATGTGAGTAGAGTTAGGATTGAGTGTGCATTACTAGCCTACGCTTCAATGTGCATTGTGATTGCTGGTTCAATTTCTGCATACCCTAAACATAAATAAGCCAGATTTCTATGGATTTGTTTAAAATGTTGGTGAATTCCTGTAATTCTAGATGTGGGAATATCAAGCTTCGTGGTTTGACATTTCACTTGGACCCCAACCCCGCATTGAGAATTGGACTCCAAATTGTGCTGACAGTTCTCAGTGAATAATTTATTTAAGTTAAAAATTCGGCATGCTGGAGCTTCTAGAGAACTACTACTTAATAAGCGAGCTTTTTTCATTTTCTTTTAAGAATGTAAGGTAATATGTATTTACATATGTTGGTGTCTTCAATTCCTGTTGCAGTTTGGCAGTGATATGAATGTTCCTGGTTTTCTTTGCCTAGAGTACTATTAGTAAACACCATATGATCCTATTCTTTTTCTAGAATAAGTTTTTGTTATTGGTTTGTAGGTTATATATAACTTCTCTTTCAATCTTCATTTTGCTACGTTGTTTTCCTTTTTGGTTTCTGCTATAGATGAACCAGAGATATCTGAGGTCCCAACCGTGTCAAATGTGCGGCAAGATCTTAACGTATGGCAAGCAAAGCATGCTACTATTGTTCTCTCGACTGTGAAGGTATTTGCCGCTTTTATGTTTCGTTTAACTAGTACTTTTATCTTTGTCGTGTGTTTATGTTCTCCTTGTCTCCCTTAATCTCCATGTGTTTGTGTGTATTTAATAATTATTGGATCTCAGCTAACACCTTTTTAATTTCTAAAGTTCCTCCATTACACGAAAGTTCCGAAGTTAGTAAGGGTTGAGGACAATAATTTTATGCTCTAAGGTTGACTGTCTTTTTTATAGGCTGAAACCAGACTCATGGAGTGATATCTTTTTTCCTTTCTAAAATGCTTTTTAAGTGCATGTCCAATAGGATTTGAACCTGAGTTGTTCAGATACTATGAAGGCCCTTCCAGTGCACCAAAACTCCAGAGTAATAGGAAGGATTAGGGTTATAATTCTATACTCTAATGACCTTCATGTCATTTGTCCTTAGAATATCTGTTCTGTGGATATCTTTTTTAACTAATCAGAGTGGAATTCCTTGTAACTCATAATGCGGATATGAAAGAGAATGGTTGTACTATAATAAGGTTACCTAGCATGTAAAACACCTAGCAGAAAGTATATCAACAGTGGCTTAATGGTTAATCATGTAGCAAGAGAGAGGAAGGTGAGCATAAGGATGGATAATTCTATATGTGTGGTGTAAGGATGGATAATACTATATGCGTGGTTAACATTACAGTTCTCTTGTTACCACAATGATATTCCTGTGTGATTATAATTCAATTGATCTATCAGTTTATCTTGTTTTACAGGTTGTGCTGGAACTCAAACCAGTATTGTCAAATCCATAATTTTTAACATCAAGTCTGAAGATCAAGCTGTTGTTTCTACTTTGGGTTCCTTGGTTTCCTTTAAGAATTATTGGCTAACCCATAAGACAATGGGAACATAAAGGATAGAAGCATGGGAATGACAAATAGAAAAGAATTATTAGTCACTTTTTGCTCGAAGTTTCCTCACATCATGTCATGCAACCATCTGGTTGTCATGATAATATCAATTTTTGCTGTCTAAAATGTGTTTTTAATAAGTCAAGTATGTTGCTTTTTTCTGAAGTTTAATTTATCTTTCATATGCTCTTTTTTAAGTGTTTGTGTGCGCGCGCGTGCACACTCGCCGTGCGCATATGGGATGGCCTTTTAAGTTGTCACGTGTAAAGTTTACATTATTTTCTTATCTTGCTTTTGCAACATATCATGAGTATTCCATTTTGGTGATTTGTGATGAGTCCTTCAGACATAGTGCTTGAACTTGAGTCTGTTTTATATATGGGAAGAAACCAAAAAGACAAATAGCAAGGGAGGTTGCTGAGGAATAATCCTAAATTTTCTAGAGAGCCTAATGCTTTTGGGTGGTCTAGAGAACTTGAGGATGAGGTTCAGGGTGTGCACTCATCAACGCATTTAGAAAAACTTCATAATTCCCTTCCACCCAAAATATATTTCAGCACAGGCAATTCTAGTTTCATTCATTGACGGATTGTCCACCTTCTTGTTATATGAGAACATAAGTTGAAAAGTTTACTAATCACTATAACCTAATATTCTGAGTTGATTATGTAAGATCTTATCACTAATTGTCAAACCAATCTACTATTTCAAATCTTATAAATACTGTTAATGTTGGTCAATAGAATATATCAGTCAAAACCTTTGGTGTTCCTACCAGTGCAGTGAGCTGTCTGTGATGGGCCAGATTGTTTCTGCTAGTATTCTTCATATTTCATGTGGTGTTTATCGATGCATTGAAGTTTTATTGCACATCATGCTACCTAAATTTCAAGTAATTTCGTACTGCAGGAGATATCAAGATTCAGATATGAGTTATGTCCGCGATACATGAAAGAGCGAAAGTTCTGGCGGATATACTTCGTACTTGTAAACAGTTATGTGTCTCTGTAAGTTTTGCCCTCTTATTTACGCATGCTATGTTTATGATGCTTGGACTATCTACTCTGTTAGAGTTGTCTCCAGTTCTTGTAGAGGCACTGGTAGTGTACCTTTATTTTTCTTTGCAAATTGCACTTTATGTAAGCAGACAATGCTGCTGATTATTTAAATAATGTTAGGGAATATGACAATAAACTGCTTCTATTTCTTTCTCTGATGATTGAGCTTCTTTACTAGGGACTGCATCTTTATCTTTAAATTAATTTGGACCCTTCTGCCTGATTATGTTAATCATGTCATCATCTAAGCAATTGTTTTTCATATCCTTTTATGATAAACTTATCTGACAGTTTTAAACTAGTTGGATGTTCATGATTTCAATATATGTGTTTGGAGCTCCAGATTATTCTTACATTATTACTTTAACTTGCTTTCTTTTCGAAGAAAAGAATGCCAGATGTTATCACACCAATCTTCAAAACTTGTTAATTAAACTCTCCTTTCACTCAGTTGTGAGAAGCAGTATATGGAGAACCTAAAAGTGGAAAAGATAGATAGAGAGCAAAATGATGGGGCTAAAAAGAGTTCAAATGCAGCTCCAACTCCTGCAGCTGAAACAAAGGTAGAAAAATTGCAATGTAAGACTTCAACTGCAGAGCATGATTTGGATGTGTTTCTTCTGGGGGATCTTGGCAGTGATGATGAGGGTCCAGGTATGTGCGTTTTCAAGACTCTATTTAACACATGCATTGTCAAATGCATTTATGGTTTATATGATAACATTTGTTAATCATATTCTTCATTTCAGATGAAGGGGACGACGGTTTCAATGATGACTTTGATAATATTGAAAGCAACTCCGTAAGCACTGATCTTCTCAACTTTTGGTACTCTATTTTAGGACTGAAGCTAATCAGCTACTGTATGTTGATGTCCACTTTCAATCAATATATACAAATATAGTATCAATTCCACATTATCAATGAGATACCGAGATGTCAAAGACGGTGTAAATACTATATGGATTCTGGAAAAATCTCATATCTGCAAACACAAATACCAGCAATACACATACATGTATAAGCATGTCCAAGCACATGCATGCACACAATTACAACCAGCAATACACATACATGTATAAGCATATCCAACCACATGCATGCACACGATTACAGCCAGACACGTATAGAGACAAACGCATAGGTGGATATGTCGGTTACAGTAGAAGAATAAGATTTACACTGAGATGTAAGTAGCATACATGGAAAATAATTCATGGTATTGTTCTGATCTGAGAGATGCTCTGTCTATGAAGAGTACACTTGGGGTGTTCGATTTTTGTACAATAACGGCAAGATAATGAAAAAACTAACAGTAATCTTACATTGTAATATGTTGCCTGACAGGGTCTAGAAAGTGATGAAGATGCCAGCGGTAATAAGTCCAAGCAGTCAAAATAAGGCAGAAGTTTAATTTTTTCTCAACAATGAATCAAGTTCGGAGAAGAAACCAATTGTGGAAAGCGAGCCTCATGATCAATTGATCTTAGCGGGACGCTAGCAGCTAGCAGCTGGTCAATATGGCAGGTTTTCTGGGTTTTGTTTATCTATGTATAATTCTTTTGATTAATTAGTTAGCATTGAGAATGTTCTGTTAGATGTTTATCATGTAAATGTGGAACGCCAATTTGTTTCATCTGGCTGTATTTGCCCGTTAACAATCTTGCTCTATGCTACGATCATCTTGCTTTTGCTGGAAAACTTCATTGTCGAAGCTGAAGGATGCTTCTGAAGGACTCAGGTGTTATTGTGGGGTCTTAAATTTTTGGCAATTGTGTTCATAATGAAATCTATTTAATATGACATTATTACCATCATGTGATTAGTTCTTGTTTGATGCCAACCGCATATTATATTGGAAAAAGAAATTGTAGTGATTATCATGTGACGATTGGCGGTCGGTGTGTGACATGCACGCTTGGCATTATAACAAATTTCATTAATCTCGAAATTGATCGTGCCACAAATTCAAAAACACAAAAACTGCAAGTCACGTGCACTTGACTAATAAATTTAGAAGTAGAGTACATTAGAAGAGTAGAAACGTTTTCTCCGATTTTGCATAGGAATCATTTATTTGTTCAATCCCTCTTGCTTCCTAATAGTAAGATTGTAAATGTAAAAGAAATTCAGAAGTATTCAACTTTTATCTCTCAAATTTGAAATATTGCTGAAAATAATTTCTTTGCGTAATGTTAATAAACCATGAATCTGTACTTGACGAAAATGCCATGCAACCTTAAACATGTAATATAAGATAATGTAATCATAGCAAAATACTTATTGATGAAATATAGAAAATACATTTGAAAATAATTCAGTTTACTGTTTTGGGCTTATGAATAATTTTCGAAGTGCGTGGGCTAATAACAAATCAGGGGAAAACTTCAGGTTCCTAATAAAGAAACAGCCGGTCTTTCCTTCTCCTCTCTCTCTCTCTCTCTCTCTCTCA